CTTTTAGTATTAAGATGTTGAGTGGAAGCAAATGTAGTAGGTTGCCTCACACCAGGTGGCCAACCCAGAAAATATGAGTATTTATGTCAGGTTTGATTTCAAAACAAAGACAAAATGAAATAACTGGATGTTGGAATTCAGTGTTTTTTGTGTGATTTTGCTGCTTTGATTTTCCTGGGACAATATTTGGACAATCCATAATATTCTGCTGCTGTTTCGCCAGTAGAGCAAACCTGTTAGCTCACTGGGAAATTCTGGGCCCAGAGAATAAGACATTTTTGCAAAGATACCAGTAGCTGTATATTGGAAGTCTATATTTTGAAGTCTTGACTCATGTTTCTGATTGTTTGTAGGCTTCAGAGTGGAGGGCGCAGGCATCTCTGGCCTTGCTCAATCAAACCCAGAATGTCGTCATTGGATTAGGACTGCTAGCAGGCTCCTTGCTCTGTGCATACTTTGTCACAGAGGGCAAGTTTCAGGTATTGACTTTGTAATAATGGCACACACTATGCTTGTCCACATTTCCATAAACCATTAGGTTGGTAGACACTGATAATGAACATGCCCAAACTTTCAAATACTAGGATTATAATCTGTGCAAGTAAATCCTTAGTATATCGCTAATATGGTTATCTCAGACAGCCCCATCCACTCATTTGGGAGGGGCAGCCGATTAAAAGAAAGTTGTTTTAAAAGGCGGGGCAGAGAGCTGATTTGCTTATTTCAGAAAGTGGATGAACTTTATGTTTAATAGATACTCAGAACATTAAGAAATACAATGCTAGTTGGAATTGTCCAATTCAGTTTGACCATAAAAACAACTCTAACCTCAGGTTGGAGATTATGTTCTCTTCGGTACCTACATCATCCAAATGTACATCCCACTCAACTGGTTTGGAACATACTACAGGTAAGAAAATACAGATAAGTCATTAGATTATAAATAGTTTGCTGTTTTAAAGATATTGCTTTTTTATGTATTTTTAAGGAGGATAACACATTATATACTGTAAGCTATTTAACCACACTCTGTTTGACTCCTGTTCCTTTTGCCAACTGTTGGTTTCTCTCTTCTTTCCCTGCAGAATGATCCAGACTTCCTTTATTGACATGGAAAACATGTTCCAACTTTTTGAAGAAGATCAAGAGGTATGTTTATAGATGGGTAAATATTTGCAGCGGTGATATCAGTGGGGGTTTTTTATGTGTTTTGAGTTTTTTGTGGTCTTTATATGTTGCCTGATGCAGGTGAAGGATGAAGTAAATGCAGGAAGCCTTCTCTTTAAATTGGGGAAAGTGGAGTTTGAAAACGTTTACTTCAGCTACATAAATGGGTCGGTTTATTTTTGCGTTGATTTCTTTTATTAAAACTTCAGTCTCAGTGTGTTCTTGCATGGCTCATTCTTAGATTTCTTTACTGCTTTGCAGCATGGAGATTCTCAGGGATGTGTCCTTCACAGTTCTTCCAGGACAGACAGTTGCACTGGTGAGTCTGAGACGAGATGTTTCCTGCTTTCCACCATTACATTGAGCAGTTAAGATGTTACTAACATTACGGATTACTAACATACCTTCAGGTTGGGCCGTCGGGATCTGGGAAAAGCACAATCATTCGACTGCTTTTCCGTTTCTATGATGTTCAGGGAGGCTGCATTCGCATTGATGGCCAGGATATATCAAAGGTAAGAGGTTTGGCACCAGAGCTACTGTGTGAGAAATATTTGGAAATTCAAGACATTAACAAACAACCAGTAAAATTAATAATATAAGCAGAAGTCATAAAGTCTTGTCTTTAATATTACTGTAACTGCATGCTTATATATATATATATATATATACACACATACACGGAGTCTAAACTGCTTATTACTTTCTCATCATCTTTCCTCAGGTGAAACAAACATCTCTGCGATCTCATATCGGCGTGGTTCCCCAGGATACCGTGCTGTTCAACGACACCATCCGGGAGAACATTCGCTACGGTCGCACCACTGCTAATGACCAGGAGGTGGAGGAGGCTGCACTCGCTGCTGATATCCATGACAAAATCATGACCTTCCCTGAAGGTAATGTGCACATTAATCCCTCAGTTTATTCAGCATTGTGACTTCAAAGATTTGTTTCATACTGTTGAAAACATTGTGGGTGTTTCTATGTATCTATGTTTATACCATTTACATGCATATTTCTGAACAAAGCTTTCAGATAAGGCCCCGTCTTATCTGAAAGTCCTTATAGTACCACATGTCCTCAGACTCCGGGCCTACTTGTGGTTCTTATAGTATTTAAAATTAGAATGGGAGGCGGAGCCTTTAACTTTCAGGCCCCTCTTATGCTTCTTCTTTACTCACCTCTTTTAACAGTGTGTCTTTTGTTCTGTCTCCCTCTCCTCACCCCCAACTGATTGCAGCCAATCCTGCCAGAAGTTTCTTACTTTTGAAAAGAACATTTTCTTCCCCCTGTCGCTAAGTCCATGCTTGTAGGGGATTTGATGTTATTGTTGGGGTTTTCGCTCTGTTATTGTTTGGCCTTTAGCTTACAATATAAAGTGCCTTTGAGGTGACTGTTGTATTTTAATACTTTGCAAGAAGTTTTTTCAGCCTCTTCCTGTGTTTTTGTCAGGCAGGTTATGATACCCAGGTGGGGGAAAGAGGACTGAAGCTGAGTGGAGGAGAGAAGCAGAGGGTGGCTATCGCCAGAACTATCCTCAAAGCACCACAAATCATCCTGCTGGATGAGGTATGTGACTGAACTGTCATCTCAAGTGTAAACTCATTGCTGTTAGTTGCAGTTTTCTAATATTATCTCTCTATAGGCCACATCTGCCCTGGACACACAGACAGAACGCAACATCCAGGCCTCTCTGGCCAAAGTCTGTGCCAATCGTACTACAGTGGTTGTAGCTCACAGGTAAATAAATTCATGTACTGTCAGGTTTTTTTAAGTGAATGTATCCATCTTCATTTATTTCACCGATGAGTTGTGGGTCCGTTATTGCTCTGTAATAGGTTGTCCACCATCATCGCAGCAGACCAGATCCTGGTTGTCAATGAAGGGCGGATTGCTGAGCGAGGACGGTAAGTGTGCCTGATTGTTTTGAATGAAACTCCTGTAAACAACATCCAGTAAAATACAATCTTTCTCATGGTGGACTTAATTTCCTGTGGAAACAGTAAAGGCGTACTTAGTTTTTCACAGGACTTACAATGAGTACTGAGTAATCTTTGTGTTTCGCATTAGCACATCTCTGTGTTCACTGAACAGTTAGTAAATAACAACATTTTCTCCATCCCAGACATGAGGAATTGCTACAAAAGGGAGGTTTATATGCAAACATGTGGATGAAGCAACAACAGGCTCAGGACTCAGATTCATCATCAGACACCGAAACCAAAGATCGCAAGTCTGAGAAACTGCAGCCACCATCGACGTCCTCAGGACACCACGGGCACTGAATGTATTTGCTTTAAGAAAAAAAACTGTTAGCACTTTTATTCTTTGTTGTGATTGTGAAAAGGTTATGTTTGATTTAAGCATTCAGCAAGGTGGAAGTAATATTTTTGATAGATTTTACAAAGTGAGGGACAAATGATTTGACATTTTAAAAACCAAACTGCTAAACAGGAGTGGAGCTTGAATCATGCCTTGCTTTGAGGTTGTTTTCTATTTAGTTTTTGTTTTGTTTTTTTAGTATAATCCTCCTAACCCTACAAATCACCTCCAATTACTTGACATTCCTCATATTTATTTTTATACTTACCTTCATTTATTTTATTTTACTTTACTTCATATTTTCTTTTTTCTTTTTCACAGTTTTAAAAGAGGACCTATTGCGCTTTTTCTTTCATAGATATACTATTTGTGGATGCTCATGTAAAGACAGCCAGAGATTAACGTATACAGGAGACCAAAAGCACAGCCTTCAGACTGCTCAGCTCAGTTTGAGACTTTTTTTCTACTCATGGCTCTATGATGCCAGTTTCATGAAAATCACCTTACTAATTTTTATTTATTTTTAATGAAAAACTGCAGTGATCATATAGTTCTGCCTCGACTCTGGAGCAATAATATGACCTGAGGCATATGAAAGGGAACTCAGCCTTGACACTACATCTTAGTGCACTGAGATACTAGTGAAACCTTGTGAATGATTTGTGGATAAGAATAGATTTGTATGCATGCCATCAGGGATTTAGTTTTTTTTTGTTATTTTAAGTTTTTGTTTGCTGAATTTGTGTTGTTCTTTAAAGTGACACTAGTCTTTTAGAAAAGCGTATTTGCACATTGAGGCTTTAGGTCATCAGCTAGGCAGAAGATAAAGCAAGATAGAAGAGCTGGTAATGCATTGATGTACATCTCCATTTATTAAGGAAATAAAACAACGGGCACTTATCATCAGTGTTTCCTGTGACACTGATTAAAAATAAATATTTTATTTTCTTTAATGATGACATAGCAATAGCATTATTTATATGTGCCTTTGCTGAATTAACAAGTGAAAATATCTGAATTAAGATGTCTTAAAATCAAATGTCTATGCAGTAACAGATGTTTAATTATTAAGTAAGAACAGCCATACACTTCTAAGTAAGTTAATGTGCTGTCTTGTATCTACCTCACGAAGTATGTTGTTCATAGTTATAGTTTTGTGGAAATATTTCATATTCATATTACATTTCATTGTGTACACATGAGCAATAAATGATATGTTTTCCACTTTTTTGGTTTTTAATTAAAACAATTTCCTGTCCAGTTTAGATTTTTTTTTATATTAAGGTGGTAGTATATCACATTACTGATAGATTCAGGAAATTATTATTATGGGCTGGACTGTGTGTTATAATGAATTAACTGAGTTGTATATTTTTGGTAAGTCATGCCATACCATATGAATATTTTGCAGCTGATGGCTTGATGTCAGTGAATTCTGCTCAGTTACAATAACAACAATTCAAGTTTCTGAGGCTGTGGTTTTATCGAAGGGTTAAATAAAATAGGAAAAAATGGAAGAAAAACTTTTGACCTGCATTTAACTTTCGCGTAACAGCGGCAGACTGCGCCCCCTGGAGTCCCAGCATCTGTATGTGCCCGGAAAGAGAGGGAAACAGCTGGAGGTTTCAGCTGTCACCGTCTGTGTCCCTCCGTCAGGGCGTTGCAAGCTTTACCAAACAGGAGGGAGCCAGGCCAAGTTGTCCTTTTCTCATTATTTGGCGGACTAATGTTTAACCTGTCGTAGATATGGATTTCGACGCTTTATTTAACGAGAATACATTTCAGTTCTCGGATTTCCAAGAGTTCACGGTAAGTTGTTGAGCGAACACCACGCTAGCTAAGGCTAGGCGCTTTAGCTAGCGTTAGCTGACTTATGCGAGTAAACTTTGAAGCTCCTGTCCCAAAATATTGGCCGAGTAGGCGAAGACAGATGCTTTACTCTTCTGTGTGATACGCATTCACCTGTACAAATAGTCTTACCATGTGTAAATCTTAAAAACCTTAAGGTATGCAAGCGTCCGTGGATAGCATAATGCTAGTGGTAGCTGTTATTTTAGACTTCCGCCGACGAACTGCGGGCCAGCCCAAGCCTAGCAGCAGTTTTGGTAAACAAGAGCTACTCTCTGCTGTTAGCATTTTAGCATTGGTTTAAATATGCTAAGCTTGTTTGTTTTTGTTTTTTTGTATCATTTTTAATTGTTTTATTTTTCTTTGTTGATATCGCCTAGCAGCTTAAGTTCACCCAACAGTTTCCATAATAGTCAAGCTAATATACCTAATTTGGGATTTTGTGTTTCATATAGTTTCTTCCTGGACACCAGAAATTGACCGAAAGAGTGAGAAAGCGATTATATTATGGCCTGGACAATGATGTTTCTTTAGATGCCCTTTCCTGCCCTGTTACAGGTAAGCAAAGCGTCTACTGTCACTTAAAGCTTTAGCCAAATTTATTATACATATAAAGTTTTTGGCTCTGCTTTAGAAGTAATCTGTTCCGGATGAATTCTTCTTTCTGACTTATTATAAGACAGTTTAATGTTGTTGTTAATAAAATTTCAGGTGTTTAAAGCATAGTTTGTATATTAAACAATGTCTTTTTTTTAATGATCAGAACCACTGATAAAAGAGGGTTAGAAAAATCACACTTGGAGCCCACTTTCTTTTTGACTTTTCCTGACTTTCTGCTTTCAGATATTGCCGTCGAAATCTTCCAAAAGTCTGCCCCAAGCCCAATACGAAAGCTCCAGAAGAAGTATGCTGCCCATGTTGCCAGGTTTGTGCTGTACTAAGTAAAGGTAGACAGATATTATTCATTCTTTTAGAAATGGGCGATTGTCCCTAAATCATGTCCCTAAAACAATTTGTTTTTGTTTCAGGGAGGCCTGCATTTCTCCGTGTGCCATGATGCTGGCTCTTGTTTACATAGAAAGGCTTAGACATAGAAACCCTGAATACCTCCAAAAGATCTCCTCCTCTGACCTCTTCTTAATCTCCATGGTATGTTTTTAGGGTTCAGACGTTCATTCTAAGTGAGATTTTGTTATGATTTATTTTTTTTTTTAAGCCAGCATAATGTCGAGATAGTGCCATGAAATACTGTAAACTTTTATTCATGATTTAGATGGTTGCCAGCAAGTACCTGTATGATGAAGGTGAAGAAGAGGAGGTGTTCAATGATGAATGGGGAGCAGCTGGGAAGTTGGATGTCAAAACTGTCAACAACCTGGAGATGAACTTCTTGAACGCCATTGTAAGTGATTGTGTGTGCGTGTAAATAAGGTGTGCCTGCACGAACATTTGCTTCAAATGATGTGTCCAAACCTTCCTGTCATATCTTCAAGGAGTGGAGCCTCTTCGCTGACCCGAATGACTTCTTTGATTTACTAAGTCAACTGGAGACCAGGTTTGTTGTAACTCAACACTAAAATGCAGCATTTACAAGAATTTACATTTAGCCTACAAAACACAACATGGTTGATTTAAGCCTTTCATTTCAAATATATCTGTTTGTGATGTGTATTTCCAGCATTGCGGAGCGGCAGGGGATGAAACGCGGCTGGTTCACCTACACTGACCTCTGTGTGCTGCTAGAGCACTCTGTATGGAGTCAAGCCCTCACAGCCATCTACCAGCACTTTACTAAGGTAGGAAGAGGACACATATTTTTACAACGTTAATATTTAGCCTTTATATTTAAGTGCTTTTTTTAATTGATCCATTTTATAGTTTTACAACCAAGCAAAGTGCACAAAGTATTGAAGGAGACCTTTTATGCCCATTTCCAGTTCCATATTTTGTCTTCCTCGAATGGAAGGAAGTACATATTAGGATCAGTTTGGTAAAAATGGTAAATGGCCTGTATTTATATAGCGCTTTACTAGTCCCTAAGGACCCCAAAGCGCTTTACACATCCAGTCATCAACACATTCACACACACTGGTGATGGCAAGCTACATTGTAGCCACAGCCACCCTGGGGCGCACTGACAGAGGCGAGGCTGCCGGACACTGGCGCCACCGGGCCCTCTGACCACCACCAGTAGGCAACGGGTGAAGTGTCTTGCCCAAGGACACAACGACCGAGACTGTCCAAGCCGGGGCTCAAACCGGCAACCTTCCGATTACAAGGCGAACGCCCAACTCTTGAGCCACGATCACCCCATGTTTGTTTGTCTGTCCTGGTTGTTTTTTTTCCCCAAGGTCAACTTTAACTTTGGGGGAAAAAACAGCTCAGAGAAACCATAATGAGTAATGCATTATATTAAAGGGCATGGAGAGAGCTCTTTAACACACTTTTTATTTTTTCAATACAACGCCCTGCGATGTCACAATGATCCCATAATAGGCTGACGTATTACAATAAAAACATCATAAAACATCAAAGTTTTAGTATAGCCCTTGCTCTTTAGGGGGCAAAAGCTATTTGGATATTTTTTTACCTTCTTATGGGCCATCACGTGGGCACTCAGTCAATTTCTTGTCTGAAATAAGCCATCAGTTTGCTGTCCCTTAAATCCACTCTTTGTCTGATTGGCTGCACCTCTCAAACAAATGGTTTGAAGAAAAGGTCGGTGGGGCTTCGTTGAGCTGTGTGTCTGAGCTGACGAATATCTTCGTAGACATCCAAGAGTACCGTCTCTTTTGGCTCATAGTGAATATACATAGGTTGACCTCATTATTTAAACTTTGAGCCTATTAAATATCAGCGTTCTTCATTGTAGCAGTGTATACGTGACAGAAAATAAAGAAAACATAATGGGTTTTCCTTAATGCAGTTCTGCGTTTCATCATAAGACTTCATCTCAATTCATTTTCAGGTATCCTGTATGCTTGGCCTGGTCTATCTAACCAGTGTGGCTGGCCTTATTGCCACCAGTGCTGTGATTCACCAGCTCAGTCTCTCTAGAGGAGGCCAGTCTCTTCTTCCGCCAGATGAGATCAGCCTGACCCACTTTTTGGCTTCCAACCTGAGTCCAGAAACCTCTTCCTCAGCCCGCCGCCTCCCTTGTTGTGTTCTGGCCAACAAGAGTGTTAACCGTCAGACTGGCTCACCTGGAAGCAGGCAACACCACAGTCAAAGGCCTCCATCGTCTTCCACACAAACATCTGTATTGTGTCTCTGGGGTTCCCTGCTTGCCTCGATGGGTCATATACATCCTGAAACGAAACCTGATGTGGAAGCCTCCCAGACCTGGTCTCCTGTGTCCTTCATCTGTCCTGGCTGTCTCGCAACACTCCCTCCTCTTGCTTGCGGGCTTCGAAACACCTCATCAGTCCTCCCTCACGGCCCCTTTGAAAACCATCAGCCTCATTTGTCGTGGTTCTCCTCCAGCCTCCTCGGTGCTACCAAGCCAAGTGTGGACTCTCATCTAGATATTTTTCCTCCTGTACAGCTGCGACCTTGCCACCCAAAGTCTATGCTGCCAGTTGACAAAGTCCAAGCTCTGCTTATGCCTGGCTAGAAATGGCAGAGCTATTCATCCTGTAGTAATGGACTCTGGAAATGAAACCAGCATTGTTGTTGTCACTCATCTACTGCTTCAAGGCTTGTTTTTTTTTTTTTACATTTCCAGATCTAGAATACAGGAGAAAATACAAGAGGAGTTGGGCACTTTTCCAAGAGGTTCACAGGGAGGAAATTTCTATATAGTTAAATACTGCAGGGTAAATTTGATTCAATTCAAATACCACAATGCTTGATTAATCACAAGTGTTGTAAAGTTTGGTTCATTTAATTCTCTGCAGCAACTAAATTCACATTATCACCCTTCTGTTTTAAGAGTTCGCCACTGTCGCTTGCTGTTGTAGGGCTTTTGAATTGAATGTGTTCCGAGTTGCTGTGTCACAGCGGTAATTTTTAAAGTGGACATGAACCACTGTATGTGTAAAGGCTAATTTACACGATGGAGTCCTGCTCTCAACAACTGACATGGATGTAATACTGTCTGTTAAGCTGGATTTACGAATTAAGTGAAGTTAAAGTTTATAAAACATGTTTAGCGCCATCTTGTGTCAATATAGACCGTGATATCGTCGGGTTGGTTGCAGTAAAAAAGACTTGCGTTAGTTGACTAATAACTGAACCAATAACTCAGGGGAAAACAGGGTCACTAAAAATCAGTGTAGGGGTTTACTTTCGTGCTGCCACTGGCTGCAACAATGAGTTTCATGCTAACAAATCGACTCCACTGTCACTCTCTGTCTCTTAAGCAGTAAGTGGTTTTAGGTAGTTTGGCTGGCTGCACTCAAACAGGAAACTCCACCTGTTAGTCGTTATGTTTCGGTTTCTGATGCATTTTATAAATGAGAACAGTGTGGAGGAGAGCCTGCTTGAATCACCAGACTGACAAGCTGGAGTCCAACACAACAGCTTTTTCTCACCAAGCTGCGCAATCAGCTGACAAAGCAGATGTTTGCAAGATGTGATCAGCGCTGTTTTCTCTAATAAAATGTCCTGTCTTTTCCCAAGCACAGCTAAACTGTTTATATCACAGGTTACATCCACATTACAATCTCCTTCACTTACTTTTCCTCACTTGTAAGATTTTAAAAAAATGCATAAAATAACGCTGATCACATCAGCTGATTGTGCCGCTTGGTACACACGACCAGACGAGGAAAAATCAGAGTTTCTGACTTCCGGTCGTCGGTCTGCTGAAACACCCTCCAGCTGACTCAAACAGGCTCTCCTCCACACTATTCTCGTTTAAAAAGAGCTTTAAAAGCCTGCCCTTACAGCTAGCAGGTGGATTTTCCCATTCGGTGCAGCTAGCCAAACAACAACGAGCCATTTACATCTTAAGAGATGGTGAGTTAAAGTAGACAGTATAGCCTCATTTCTAACATAAATCTCATTGCTGCAGCCAGGGGCAGCACAAAAGTGATCCCCATAAACTGATTTTTATTTTAAGTGTCCTTATTTTCCCCTGAATTACTGTTTCTGTTACCAGTTAGCTTACATGAACTACAGTGACACAACGTTCTGTACTCACACAAGATGGCGCTAAACATATTCTAAAAACTTTCAATTTAGGCACTTTTTTATTTTTAAAGCCAGTTTCACAGACAGAGTTACATCTACGTCAGTTTTTGAGAGCAGGGCTCAATGGTGTAAATTAGCCTTTATACATGTAGTGTTTCATGTCCACGTTAAGCTGTTCACATTTGGCAGGTTAATGAATGTGTGTGGTGGTTACCAAGCATATATGAAAGTTGAAAGTTTCACGGTAAGTTGTTTTATTTTTTTAATGAAGAAGGGACTTAAACCAGGCTCAATTTTCTTATTCATATTCGTTTCTTGTAGCCATATACTTTTCTTTGATGCAGCTTGAGGACTGCAATAGACACTGGTCATTCACATACACATACTGTTGGCACTGATAGCTAGTTATAAAATCCGGTTGTCTTCTAGGTTTGAGAAGAGAAATGGTTGGACAGGAGACCAGACAGTTGAAACCGTGTCTTTGTGTTACTGTCACATGCCACACCGTTTCCACACATTCTGGTTATGGTGGCTGATTTTTGTCTTTTTTCTTTTTTACCAGATGTGATATGGCAACAAAATATAATACTTACGTCACTTTCCTGTAACAGGGTCTTAGCCAGGTGGAACACCTTTGTAAAGGATGTGTTCCTGTGATTTCATGCAGTCTCTAGCTTTTTTTTTGTTTTGTTTGTTTTTGCATGTGTTGTCTCAAAGGAAAACGTCAACCTTCCTTTGTTGCGGGAGATTTGCACTTTTTGGCTCCATTTTCATTGATGTAGAAAATCATCTTGCATTGTTACTGCATTATTGTCATGTTTTCAACACCAGAAGGGAAAATGGTCATTTTTATCTACACCGCTACAAATCTACATTTACTTTGTAATTGAACCTTTAACAAATTGATCTGAATTTTGAATTTGATACACTTTGGATCGTGAACCCCTTAAATTTTGTACATGTTATAAAATGCAAATATTGTAAAATGTGTAGCAAAAAAAAGAATAAAGACCGCATTTGTTTGAGATACTTTGTATATAATTCTGTGTCAACATACAATGAAGCCACGCTGAATCTCAGTAAATATGAAACAGTATGTTTGTTGTATGTTTGAACTTTTAACCTTTAAATGAGAGAAAACAGACTAAACCACTTCTGACCAATGTCCCAAGCATTAAATAAGGGCACCAAACTCAAGGAATTAACAAATGTTGTATCTAGACATAACAGACAACTTGAGTCACTTTGTTTGCAGCCTACTGCAAAAACACATTATTTATTCCCATTTCTTCTTACAGGTATTAAATGGTATTTTGGGGTAATTCCCAAAGAGCTCTTACCTGAAATGTCTTGGCAGGGGGTGCAGTGTATCCTTAAAAATTTGAGGAAACTTGACAAGTGAAGGGGAACAAATTTGATTTTTCAATTATTTATTTATTTTTTGTTCAACTCATCCTCAGTATTTATGGAGGAGGTCAGGAAAGAGGTATAACAGTTAGTATCTATAGCCATGTGCAGAACACTCTGTCATGGTTTGGGGCTGCATTACAGCCAGTGGTGTTGGATATGTGGTGAAAATTGATGGAACATATTTTAATCCACCGTGCAATACCATCTGAAAAGTGTCTGATTGGCAGTGGGTTCATTTATCACAAACACACTGCCAATGCAGTAAAAGCGTACCTGGGTAGGAAAACACACGGATAAATTTGCCTACCTAGACCTCGGACCTCAACATTATTGAAGCAGCGTGGGATCATGTTGACAGAGAACAGAAGAAAAGGCAGAAACAATCAAAGAAGAGTTTTGAATGTCCTTCAAGAAGCCTGGTGAATTATTCCTGAAGACTACATAAAGACATGACAAGAACGCTGCCTAAGAGAGTTCAGACTGAATAAACGGTAGTCTAATACTGACCAAATATTGACTTTCGAGCTTCTTAGAATTGTACAAACTATTTTTGCCTTATATTCTGTATTTCCATATATATATAAGTATGTTTGTATATCACACTTTCCTGGCAAAATATGAAGAAATGAGGGTTTATGGGATTGCACTAAGTGATCCCATAACAATTGAAAAGCTATTCCATGTTTTTAAGGGCCAGGATAAACGTTTTGGATGAGCATTTTTACAGAGGGGGAAAACAGATGTCTGGTTTTGGTTGAATATGGGATGTCCCTCCCCCCTGACTCTATGCCAAGCTTCTCTTACCCCTCCCCTACACTCCTGGCTTGACACATACCATTTGAGAACTCCTAATATAGACCCAGCTGCTTTGTAGAAAAGGCTAACAAACGGTCTCAGTTTCCTGCTTTGAAAACCACTTTTTCATGGACACAAGACAGAGTCATGGAGCCTCGTTCACAGGTGAAATGTATATGATTGGGGGTGTCTGGGAGGTTGATAATATTTTTGAAACCAAGGAAATGAGTAGCCATGGGGATTTTGTTGACAGTGATATATGTTATAGGTGTCATTCCCAGAAAAGAAGCAGGAAATACAGAGTCAAGGTACAATGCCTGGCAGTTGTCTGGGTTTGGATCTGTGCATGGAAATGTGCATATGTGTATTTGCATTTGTTGGCTTTGTGCTGTTAGCACTTTCCTTCGTTTTGTAGCTGTGTGTGTGCACGCATGAATATGTCCTCGTCTATAACTGCTGAACCCTGTTCAAACAGTGTGTTGTGACCAGCTGGTGTATTTTCTCCTAGAGGCTGATGCCACAGTCTACATGAAATTCATGAAAAGTCACCGCTGTTATGATGCCATTCCAACCAGCTGTAAACTGGTCATATTTGATACCACACTACAAGTGAGCCTGAAGCTTTTCCATGAGCTGTTGCACATCTAGACTTTCATATTGAATTGTCACAGAGTAGTGTTATTTACCTGTAAAACATCACTGACTGAAAAATCTTTAACCCCAAAAGGTGAAAAAAGCCTTTTATGCACTGGTGGCAAATGGCTTGAGGGCTGCACCACTATGGGACAGCAAGCTGCAGAGATTTGTGGGTAAGATGACGGATTAATGGGACAGATATGGTAGACTGGGCTCACTCACTGGTAATAATGGGAATGTGAATCCTCCTCTGCCACAGGTATGCTGACTATTACAGATTTCATCAACATCCTTCACTGCTATTACAAGTCCCCCATGGTGAGCACTAAATTCCCACAGTTTGAAGCCACTCAGGTTGGACGCCCCTACTGTAGAGTTAAACAAAGGACTCGGGGCCACAATCAGCCCAGGAAAAACTCCAATCTGGCCCACTGGACGTTTTAGAAACATGTGAAACAGGGCATACATTTCTGACTTTTAACTTTCGTAAATTTTACAACTTGTCCTACGGATAAAGACCTCCCGCACAGCCATTCATACTACACCCATGTGACAGATAAACTATTAAATGACAGAAAAGTTCCTATTTTCTTGCTAGCAAATATAAAAATGCCTGTCGTCTTTGTTTTTTTAAGGTTCAGATGTATGAGCTTGAGAGCCACAAGATAGAAACATGGAGAGGTGATTCCCTTCGAAGTAAATATGCAAGCAGGAATGAATGGCATCATCTGTGCCCAGAGG